CGATGCGGGGTGAGCCTCCCCCCCGGGGCGTCAGCCGTGAGCTCGTCGAGGTTCTGTGCGCTCTCTGGTACAGACTCATCTGTCCCCACTGGCTCTTTCTTCTGCAGCAGGAGGAAAAAGAAACCCCAGCAGAGTTAAACAGTAAAGCTCCAGGGTAAAAATATTCCTCAATGATGCAAGTGAGAGGCCCGGAGAGCAGAGACCTGGGGGAGTTGCCACCAGTTAGTAACGTCCCACCAGTGAATCGCTGCCAGGACCGTCTGCCTTCGTGCCTCACCTTCATCTTGTCTCCGATTGTTTTGCTGCACAGGTTCTTCAGCTTGTTCAAGTTATCGGCACGAAACCTGCCTAGAAAGCAGAGAGGAAGGAGCCGTCAGCCAGCCGCATGCGTGGGAGCAGGGCTGGGATCCCTGTCCAGCACCGAGAGGGGCCACGAAGCCTTAGGCAGGAGAGAGGATGGCAGTGCCAGGGATGCCCCTCGCCGCTGGCCCTGGGCGTTTTGGAAGGAGAGTATTTAAAAGTATTTAAAAGAAGGATAGATGAAGTGCTTAGGGCCAGGGTTTAGTGGTGGGATGGCAGGGTTAGGTTAAAGGTTGGACTCAATGATTCTTAAAGGTCTTTTCCAACCAAAGTGATTCTACGATTCTATGGGAGGGGAGGGTTTAACCATGTGAGAGCATGGTGTGGGGCTGGCTGTGATATGGGGCAGAGATGTGGGGAGCAGAGGGCTCCCATGCAGGGGGGTCACTAGAAAAGACCCCAAGTGACACCGCACCGGGCCACGGAGACGAGCCACAGCCCCACCAGGACCCCCACACCAGGCTGGGGCCACTGGGGACTGAGCAGATCCAGGGCTCTGGGGCCACAGCCATGAGACTGGGGCTGTGCGATGAGGGGACCGGGGAGGGGGACTCCATGGTGACACCAGGGCTGAGCGCAGGATGCAGCCGTCCCCTCCCGGCAGGGCAGCCCAAATCAGAGACGCAACACCACCAGGGATGTGTCACCCCAACAGGGCGACATCCCCAGGCACAGGCAGGATCAGCCCCACGGGGCTGAGCGAGGGGTGATCCAGAGTCAGGAAACACTAAGGGCTACGAGCCAGGGAACAGGGCAGGGCAAACAGGACCTGTGGACCCCACAGCACCAGCACCTGCACCGGCAGGATTGCATCAGCCGGCTGCTTGCCAGTGCATTTTGCCTGCATCCTGCCAGCCCCACGGTTATGTGCCGGCGCGCCCTTCCGCAGCACCCACCGCTGCCGGGAAGGGCCGGAGCCCACGGGGAGGGGGCCGGGGTGCAGCCCCCACCGCCGGCCTGGAAA